CTTAAGTAGGTCAGAGGTCAGGTCAAGCTCAGGTCAAGGGTGCAAAATGCAAGTTTCTACATTATCGTCCTTGCACCGTAGTTGCCGAAGAATGGACTGAGACTGTTCGCACAAAACGTGTTCTTAGGCTACCAAGACAATATTCGTTGCATACAATATCATTCGAAGGTCAAGGTCAAGGTCAGGTCAGGTCAGGTCAGGCCAGGTCAGGTCAGGTCAACAAAAACAAAATATAGAAAAGGGCATGTGCGAGTGCGACACATGTTTTGTGGGTCATTTTATTCATACAATTCAAGAGGCACACTCAATAAGTGATATTGACCACCTCTGGATGAATTTCAGGTCGTGGTCAGGTCAAGGTCAGGTTAAGTGAGGTCAAATTTTGAAGCTGGGGCATTCCACGATAGATCGTACCAGGCCCGTCACCCTCATCTCTCAGATTTTAATGAAAATCGGTCCTAGGGGTAATCATAGGCCCCAATGACGCCTGGCAAAATATCAGACTTCTCAGATCAAAACTTTTTGAGTTATATTGCATTACATTTTTTTAACTTCGGTATGTAACGGTGAGTTTGATGGCCTATAACTCAAGAACGGGTTAAGCAACCAACAAAAAGTAAATAACACTAAGCTTGCAATAAATCAAAAATTAATATTACTATTTAAAAATTCCAAAGAAAAAATTTCATTGTTGAGCAGAAACCTTAATCTTTTTTCATTTGCCTCTAATGACTTTTGGGACCAAAATTTTTCACATTTTTATTTAAAAAAAATAAACTTCATGTCATTGCAAATCGACATGCAAAAAATTCGAAAGGTGTTCTTTCTATAAGTTCCTCATTTTCCCGCAAACAAAATGGGTTTCGGAGGGGTTGATACGACCCCAGCACGCCGTTTCGCTTCTAATAGAGCTAGAGCCTCGCGGAAAAAACGAGCGTGTGTGCCGTTACAAGTCGCAGCGATTGGTACCCGATTTTAAGGTCTTAGGTTAACCGGTAGCGTCTGAGGTCAGGTCACGTGACTGAAGTTCCGGGTTCGGCTTTTAGTAAATAACTTCGCAAAAAATGGCCTCAGAGCCGCGATTTTGGCATCATTGTGTTCACCTAGCTCAGGTGCATCGAATGGTATACTTTTTGCTAGGGTGAGGTCAACTTAAGTAGTTGACCTCGGGTCAAGGTCAGGTCAGAGCCCCTCAGGTCACGAAGCTGGGCAAAGGGTATCATATGGCATATCATTCGATTCGGAAGGTCTTCCCGAGTCCATTGGTGGCTTTCCCGACTCTCTAGCTCCATTTGAGCGGGAGTTATTGACGAAAAACTCGTACGACCCTAGTGACGTCATAAATGACGTCACGCAAGGTTAACAATGCAAAAGTAAAGCATCGGACTTTGCAAGGAGTGCATGATACCATGTACGTGGGATAGTTTTAGATCATTCTCGGCGCCAAAATAACAGTTTTTTATATTTCCCCATTGATTTATAACAGTGATGTCACGTGACCGACCTGACCTCATGTAACCTTGAAAAATTCCCAGATATACAAGTTGTGAGACCTCTGGAGGACACCATGTATGCGTCCTGTAACTTTCATCTCGGACAGCTATGGTCATTGGCGTCCAAAACAATGTCCGAACCAAACAGCCTTTTTCACCCTCGCGCTTATAGGAAAGAGGGTTGGGTGAACCCTCTTTTCACTTTTTTCAGATGACTCAGACTTAAATTGAAATTTCAGTAACCCGTGATGTCACTAGGCAGCTTTACCACGCCATTTGTAAGCTCCCCTCCCGAAATCGCTATTCGAAACCGTTATCGTGACGTAAAATAAATACATTTATAGAAAGAACACCTTCCTAATTTTTTGCATACTTCTTAACAATGAGCCAAATATTTTTTAAAGAAATAAAAATTCAAAAAAATTTGGTCCCAAAGTCCAAAAAATACAAATGAAAGAAAACTCGATATGTCATATATCAAAAATAGCGTATTTTTCGAAATTTCAAAAATACATATTAATCTCTGTTTCATTGCAAGTTCAATGCTATATAACATTTGGCATTTGAATAATCCGTCTTAGAGTTACAGCCCGCCAAACTTATCGCTGCAAAGCAAGATCCAAAAAATGTTATACACCATAACTCAAGAAATACTTATCTGATAAGCCTGAAATTGTTACAGGTGGATTCAGAGCCCCTGATTACCCCTGAGACCAATTCTCGGCAAATTCCGAGAGATGAGGGTGTCAAATTGGAAAAAAGTGGTACGATCTATCGTGGAATGCCCCAGCTGGTTGTTAAGGCCTAAAAAGGTGTCTATCTGATGTAGTTTTTCACGGCGAATCGAATGGTGCTGTTTTGTTTCCGTGCGAGGTCTAGAACTTCCCAAAAAATCATTTAAAAAAAAAATTGTGTGTCGGGACGTCTTGAAATTTTGAAATTTTTGAACCGATTCTTCTGAAAATTGGTATGTAGGTGCACATACACCACTTCTCTGGCATGTATTCCGGTTTTATGATACACCTTAAATTTTGGATTTTATAATTATCATCCAAAAAAAGTCAGTTTTTTAAGAAAAAAATTGGGCCAAAATCCAAAATTGGCAAAAAACGATATAACCATTTGATAGACAAAAGAGAATCACGTACATATAAGCTTTTTGTTATGTCTTAATTCCTTTAAAAATGAAGATGTTAGCGGCGTTTGAATTTTTGCCGTTTTTGAGGCGAAAATGACGAACATGACGTCACTAAAACGTCATTTTCTCAAAAAATGTCCGACGGATTTCGCTCAAATTTTTAGGGAACGTGTCCAATTGATGTATGATAGGTACTAAAAGTTTGACGTCGCTGGCGTAACGCGTTTATAAGTTATTGGCGAAAAACGGGGGGGGTGGTAGTCGGCAGATTCTGTCCCCTCCCCCCCCCCCCAGCGGGGCGCGGGTTAAGTCAAACATCCTGCCGCCGGCGACGGCCGTTACGCGCCGCCTGAATTGTAGACTGTGCTGGGGCGAGACAGTTGCGTCTTTACATCACGCTCCTTGCCGCTGATTACATTCGATTCGCGTCAAATATTTTGAGAAGACTAAAAACCGTACAAGCAATCTTATGGTTAATTAAATAATTTTGAAAATCGGCTGGTAAAAACTTGATTTATGAGCGTGTAAGCACAAATTTGTGAGTGCCGCGTTTCCCGCGTCGGCCGATCTCGCTTCAGCCGGCGACATCCTACTCTTAGCAGGCTTCAACTGCCATATTTATTGTTGAATTAACTAGAAACCCACCATGTATACTCACAACTGTATATTCTTTCGCAAAGTGAAAGAAAAATAAAATCGACCCGTAGCTTTTTAAGCTACCGGCGTGTAAACGCAAAAACGTCGCTCATATTGCAGATTTGACCACATTTGACCTCATTTGACCTTGAAGATATTGACCTAGGGTCATAAAAATTCACACACAACAGAGTTCCCGAGCGCCCCCACCTACCCTCCAACTTTCGTCTTTCTAGCTCCACACTGAAAACAAATGAACACAGTGGTCAGTGAGGGCATGTTCTGTACTGGTAACACATCAGTCATGTGTTAATCGCACCCAAAACACAATAAAGCTGAGTACTTTCACGCCTGGCGGGACCTTCGACACGTTTGCTAACACATAGAACAGAATAATGACACAATTTTCTCGTGCCAAGCACGCTGGACGAATGTAATGCATCAGTGTATCGAAATCCTGTGTTGTCGGATATGGTAGACGTGTACTACACAAATAGTTACACCGTGCCATCCACCAGTGAGCGACCTCGGAACCTTAACTTCAGATGGGGATAGTAGAGAGGGTTTTTCGAGCACCGACTTTTATGCTGGGCTTTTGTAAAAATTTGCATAAGTGTTTTGAGAAAGGTCAAAATGCACAATACAGCCGAGGGAGTCGATACATGATAAATTGTCTGGAGCAATATGCGCTGATTACATTAAGTGCAAGCTGACGCATAGCTAATTAACGTCTGCTTGGAGGAAGAAACTCCTCGGTCTATATAGGATATATTTGAAAAATCGGTGGTTGAAAAAGTTATCCCGGCTGTCTGGAACGCCTGGACAACTGCATTATGCAGTAGTCCACGAATTGGGGCATCGTCTGTTGGTGCTCTGAAATCTGAATGACTTGTCTGCGTGACGTGTTCACCTTTCGGCCTTGAAGCGGAACCATTCCGGTCCAGCGACCGACTGGGCGCAATGCCAGGTCATGTATTTGTCGGCCGGCCGGGTGCTCAGCCCTGACCGCGCCCTGACCATATGGGTCGGCCGGCCGGGTGCTCGGCCCTGACCGCACCCGAGCGCCCGATTCCACTCGGGGCCGGCTTTGGCAGTCAGCCTGTCCAGCCAGAGCCAAAGCCCCTTCAACTGCGCCCCGGCAACAAACTACATAGTCACCACGTGTTTCCTTCTTCCACTTGCGATTTGTGTTAAATTTAGCAACACATTCACACTGTATTAAACATTGAGTAACACATTTATCTTGTATTCTGCAAATGTATTCACACAAGCCTTAAAAATGCCCCCCCCCCCCCCACCGCCTGGAAGGTTAAAAACTTATCTTTTGTGAGCGATTACCGTATTTCAATGTTTTGCATCAAAATCGACCGACATGACGTCACTCCGACGTCATTGCCGGCCGACCTACGCTAGGTAGAAAGCTGAAATTTGAACACAATGTGTCAAATTGATGCCGCTGAACGTACTGCAAGTTTTGTGTTGATACGTCAAGCAGTTTAGAAGATATTGCAAAAAAAAAACGGGAGAGAGCTTTGTGGAGCCCCCCCCCCCCCACCGTCATGCGCGGGAATAACATCCCATTGAATCAAAAGTGTAATTGACTTTTTCACTCATTTTCCCAGCGCACCTTTGATAAGTTGTCCCCTACTACAAGATTTGGTGCTATGAGTTGACGGCTGCTTACCAATCGTTACTGTTGCTTTGTTGACAATAACTTATCATCACACCGGCAGATGGCAAAGTCACGTGCTCAACTTCAACAAGACGGCCATCAGCCATCCAGTGACCAACTTTGAGTTCTTTTACGAGCCTTTCTTCGTGTCACGGAACGACGTTCCCGAGTACGACGAACGGTTCGTCGGCTACGGTTTTACCAGAAACACACAGGTGGGTCGACTAGGACTCGAGTGGGAGAGCATCGTCAGGGCAGGGCAGTGGTTTGGGACAGTGAGCATACCACCCTCTAGTGCAGGTGAACATACCTCCGTCATCGACTTCAGCCTTTGTGAGGAATAAGGACGCCGACCGCGTCTCCGGACCGGAGGTGAGGTATGCATCACCCTGAAAACACCGCTGACCGCTCCCCATCATTTTAATCGGTTTGGTGGTTTATCTTAATGTGTTTATTTACTACAATCTTCAGCAATAGCAATAACTCCATGATTCTTCGTATATTTGTTTGCTTCTTTTTTACAGACCTACGAGACGCTCTGCGCCGGCTACAAGTTTGTCGTCCTCGCCCCGCTGTTTTCTGTTCACTGGGGTCTTCAGGTGCGAAAAACTCGTCCCGGTTGGCGCGAACAACAAAACAACAACAACCGCAAACTGTTCAACGCCTTCAAGAAGGACGTGTTCGCTCGGTACGGCGCTGATCCGCTCGGTATGGTGAATAAGAATCTTGGTAGGAGTGAGAAGAGTGCTAAGAAGAGAACGATACGCGTGGCTCGCGGGGCGGGCCCGGTGAAGGGCCGGGAGGGGAATGGAGCAGGGGTCAGCCGCGGCACTGGGGCTAATGGTCGAGTGAGGTGATGGGGCGGCGAGTGGAGGGACAAGGGATAGTGTATATCAGGTCTGGTAGTGTTTTCAGTCTGATGTAGATGTGACATGCAGTTGCTCATGGCCCTTTTGATGGCGGCGGCTGGGTGTGATCATTGATCATTGATGCGATGTTTGTGGCTAGGCTAGAACAGTTGTTAAAACCTGCGGTCCCATGCTGGCCGGCTGTCTCAGCAAAGGAAATAAATCACAACTAGCTTTGTGAGACCCTCACATGCATTTTATTGATTTGTTTGTGAATTGGTCACACAAATCACTAATGTGTGATAGGGGAGAGCGGGGAGAGTTGTATCATGTCCAAGTTGTATCAGGGCGAATTGTGCCAAACTTATCCAATTGATGGCGCTCGTGACACGACCAGCCGACGAGGTGGCTGGGTGGACGCGTCTCGAGGTGAGAGCCGATTTTATGTTTTTTTAATGTCATTCTAAAAAATAGGTTGCAAGAAAATGTGTGTTTTGGACATTTAGATGTGCACGAATTTGAAAGATCTCCGTAGCGGTGGTGAGGGTAGGTTCTAAGGCTGCGTGAGTGAAAATGGATTTCTCCAGCTGTCCGCTGTTTTTGAGCATGAGGATGTTTTTTTTCCAAGATGGCGGCGAGGTACATGTTGTATCAGAGCCGGGTCCGGGTGGGGTATGTTGTAACATGCATGTATGTATGGGTATGTTGCTTTTGATCGCGAAAGCTAAGCCCTGGCTCGCGTTTGTAGGTAGCTAGTCAATACTCGTTCCATTTTGGCACAATGTGTTGGCTTCTTTGCTCTTAACGGGCCACTTTTGCGTCTAGTCTGTTGATGTTTCGTTCGTTTCGATGTTTCGTTCGGATTGCATTGACCTAAGTTTGGTCTAATAAAAGTGAAGCCTTTGAGCATATACATTGTATCAACCCCATTTAATGTTGTTGTTATGCTCAAAACCAGTAGCAAGCACACTCCCTGAAACGTGAAATACCTAGTGATACAAATTACCCCACCATGTGATACAACTCATCCAAGCCATGGGGCAAGTTGTATCAAAAACATTGTTCTATTCGGCAGCCCGTAGAAGAAAAACCGGTAGAGGTAGCGGAAAAGTTACTTGGCACGAAAAAGCAGAAGAATCAAGGAAGGAGATAGTATGGAAATAATGCGTTTATCACGGATAGTTACGAGGTTATGGGTCTCGGAGTAAAAACTGATACAACCCACCCCACTCTCCCCTATGCTTTCTTTTTCGTTACATGTATCATTATCCGGCTAAAGCAGAAGCATAAAAGTATATTTGAAAGTTGACGATATTTTTCTTGATGTATTATGGTAACTTCTCAACGTATTTTGGTGTGAATGGGTAGGCATAATACACATTACACATTACTCATAGGCATGTATGGGCTCAGAATCGCTGCAAAGAGAGAGAGAGAGAGAGAGAGAGAGAGAGAGAGAGAGAGAGAGAGAGAGAGAGAGAGAGAGAGAGAGAGAGAGAGAGAGAGAGAGAGAGAGAGAGAAGAGAGAGAGAGAGAGAGAGAGAGAGAGAGAGAGAGAGAGAGAGAGAGAGAGAGAGAGAGAGAGAGAGAGAGAGAGAGAGAGAGAGAGAGAGAGAGAGAGAGAGAGAGAGAGACGATAAAGCTGACGGGAGCGCCGGTGCTCCTCGCCCTCTCATCACGGAGTTGGGTGGTCCCAGCTGACATACAAAGAGGGCTGCTAAGCAGTGAGCACAGTGGACGTGCTGATACCTGGCGTGTATGTTTCGTTGGAGGAGAAGGTATAAACATAGGTTGTAACGTATTCCCTGCCTATACAGAAGGTCAGCAAGCAGCCAAGCATATGGGCAGGGTTCGACGACGGTGGCGTCACCTCTATTAGTGTGTAGTTCAGGTACTGGCCGCCAAACGGTACTACAGTAGGTCAGACCTGGTAGCTCCCGAAGGGCACAAGAGTGCCTCATTCAGCCGAACCGAGCCTCATTCAGCCTTTCCCCCACGTCGACTATGCCTCCACTGTGAGCACGGTCCTACTGCACCGCCCTGAGGAGTGAGGACGTCTCGTTCACATTTGTTACTTTAGCAGCCCGTCAAAATAAAGCGCAAATTGATTAATCGAATCAATTCCTATCCCTGCCAAAGCGCAAAGGTCCAAGACCAACACTGACCCCGGACACGCACACAATAGGATTTGACTTATCCGGCCAGTGAAATTCCGTTAGAACTTGTCACTTTGTCAGTAAATCTGCAGTTTCGCCGGCAGTGTTGCTGTCTAATTATCGTCACGCGAAAGGAAGATGATCGACTTGTAGGGTGTAAGTGTCTCAGGTGTTCCTCCGCCCCTGTGGGCTCGCTAGAAGCTGGTTCAACTTTTGAGTTTTGACCAATGTTCGCGATAGTTGAAACACTCTGAAATCGCATGAGATCCAGCAGAGTCGGTCATTGACCTTGGCGTAATATGTATACCTTTATTTGTAACTATGTGAAAACATTGTGCCGACAAACATATGCATACCATACAGTTATATGCTCTCGTTCGCCATGCTGATACACGAAAGGTCATTTGGCTCCATGTGCTCATGCAGATATGTACCTATCACCACGCCTTACACTCTGTTATCGCCTCACTACGTGCCGCATTCTTTATCTAACCCACGATCCACTGGGGGAGGGGGGGGGGGGGGAGCTATTCAGTATTCATTTTGTTACAGTAACTGATAGTGCTCGAATGTTCTCAATCACTCGAAAATTATCACACGAAACGTTTGATGCTCCTAAAAACCAAAGGTAGAGGCCATCAAGACCGATCTTTTCGCCGATATGACCAGAGCCAGCATATGAAGTTCGATCAGAGTAACAAGTTTTGTTTATCTTTAGCTACACGGGGTGGGGAGTTATGTCAATCGTGGACTTGATCCTCAGTTCGGACACCGAATGTTTTTTTTTCGGTGGTGAGTTCTTAGAGTTATTAATGACTCGAGCTTTATTCAGTTTGGCCAACCTAAGAACGAGTACCATGAAGATAGACAAGGACTGTACATTACAAGTATAAGTAAATTATACATACAAGTGTATAAACGTATGTAACATGTGTGCCATGTTATTATGTAACAAGTTATGTAACATGAAGACGAAACTCCCCCAACCAAATAGTATTTTCGGACGCAGGCCGATTATGGGCTACTCCTACCTACGCACTACTTCGTCCTTACGTGTGCAATGGTTTTGTTTAAAAGAAGAAAATGCGCTTCCCCTCGTTAGTGATTGACGCAAAATCACAGGTCAACTCTCAGCTATATTTTTTACCAATGTCACCAGTAAAACGACTTTGGGGGCGACAAAAGAGCGAGGGAGAGAAAGAGAAAGAAAAAGAGAGAGAGGGAGAGAGAGATAAAGAGAGAGAGAGAGAGAGAGAGAGAGAGAGAGAGAGAGAGAGAGAGGGAGAGAGAGAGAGGGAGAGAGAGAGAGGGAGAGAGAGAGAGAGAGGGAGAGAGAGAGAGAGAGAGAGAGAGAGAGAGAGAGAGAGAGAGAGAGAGAGAGAGAGAGAGAGAGAGAGAGAGAGATAGAGAGAGAGAGAGGGAGAGAGCGAGAGACCTGCTTGTACGGAAGAAGACGCACGTTCACAAGTGCAAGCTTGGTTTCAACTGAATATTGCAAGGCGCGCAACAACCGTTATGGGACCGATGTCCCTAACGGTGTACCTGTCAAATTTGAGCCGAGTTGGTGGCGACCCAGCCGTGACTCATTGAAATATGTACGTACATTGCCCGGTGGGTGCCAACTCACATGCCAAATTTAGCGCAATCGGTTCAATAATTGCCGAGCTATTATCATGGGGACGAACATGGCACCTCTTCCTTTCGCACGTCGTACGTGCAGTGGCGTTAACCCGCGCGGGGCTGGGGTCTCCAGCCGAACGCGCGGGGCTGGGGGGGGGGGTAAATTTTACCCCCCTGTTATCTTCCGAACTAATGGTCCGATTTGGAAAATTCGAACGCCAATCGAAAGATCTCATCACGAACAACTAAAAACATGTACTTAATTTAAAGTTTGAGGTCAAGGTCAAGGTCAGGTCAAGGGTACAAATTGCAAGTTTCTACAGTATCGGCCTTGTACCGTAGTTGCCGAAGAATGGAGTCATGGACTGAGACTGATTGCCCAAAACGTGTTCTTAGGCTACCAAGACAATATTCGTTGCCTACAATATCATTCAGAGGTCAAGGTCAAGGTCAGGTCAGGTCAGGTCAGGTCACCAAAACAAAATATAGAAATGGGCATGTGCGACACATGTTTTATGGGTCATTTTACTCATAGAATTCAATAGGCACACTCAATAAGTGATATGGACCACCTCTGGATGAATTTCAGGTCGAGGTCAGGTCAAGGTCAGGTCAAGTGAGGTCAAATTTTGAAGTTGGTTGTTAAGGCCTAAAAAGGTGTCTATCTGATGCAGTTTTTCACGGCAAATCGAATGGTGCTATTTTTGTTTCCGTACGAGGTCTAGAACTTCCAAAAAATTCATTTTTCAAATTTTTTGTGTGTCGTGACGTCATAAAATTTTGAATAACTCCCACATTTTTTAACCGATTCTTCTAAAAATTGGTATGTAGGTGCACATAGACCACTTCTCTGACATATATTCCGGTTTTTTTGATACACTCAAAATTTTGGATTTTATAACTATTTTCCCAAAAAAGTCAGTTTTTTTAGAAAAAAAATGGGCCGAAATCCAAAATTTTCAAAAAACCGAGCTGGCCATTTGATAGACAAAGTAAAAAGACGTATAACCTTTTTTGTTACGTCTTGATTCCTTTAAAAATGAAGATGTTAGCGGCGTTTGAAATTTTGCCGTTTTTGAGGCGAAAATGGCGAACATGACGTCACTAAAACGTCAATTTCTCAAAAAATTTCCGACGGATTCCGCTCAAATTTTCAGGGAACGTGTCAAATTGATGTAAGAAAAGGTACTGAAAGTTTGGCGGCGCTGCGCGCCGACGTTTTTGAGATATTGCCAAAATTCGCGAGGGGGGGTAAAATTTACCCCCCCCCCCAGCCCCGCGCGGTTTAACTTACATGCAATATGCATCGATAGTAATCTGATATTTGGCAGAAGGAATGTAGCTTAACCAACTAAAAAAGACCGTACTCGTAAGCCAATCGGCCCAGCGGCTGCTGAGATATGCCCTCAAAGTGTTACCGGTCGGGCTGGGTCGAGCCGGGCCGGGCAGGGCCGGGCCACTCACATTGAGATTTTCTCGTTATTTTGAAAAGCTCGCTCGTAATCACCTGTTCCAACCCAATCGGATAA